GTAAGAGTCCGCGACGCCGAACAGGCTCGACGAGCCCAAGGACGGGCGGAGTGACGACGTGGGGTGGACCCCGCGGTAGTCTCGGGGTGAAGCAGTCAGAGGGACTGAGCAGTGGTGGGGATTGGACGCCGGCCGCGGCAGGGCCTTGTGGCTAGGGTGGTCGGTGGTCTTGGGGAGTTTTGAAGGTTGCTCGTGGGGGCGACAGTTAATTGAAATTTTTGTGTACAAGAAGGACTCGCTTTTATTTCCATTGCTGCTTTGTCTATGCATGTCGTGTGTGTGAAGCCCAGAGTGAAGGGTGCTGGTTATGCGCATGAGCGACGTCAAAGGTCCATGGATGATTAGATGTCCTGTCAAGGGCTGCTGACTGCGTGCATGTATGCGTCTATGTACTTGTCCGGGCGGGGATGGGAAAACTGAACTGGGGGACCGTCTGCTTAGGAGTATGAGTGTGTTGATCCGGTTGTTCCCCTCCCCTTCGTGGTCTTTCCTGCGCTCTCGCGCGGTCTCGGCGTAATTCACTCTCTCACTCTCTCTCTCCCTTTTTCCCTTCCTCGATCGCCTTCCTCGGAACTGACAGTCATCGCTTTTAGAGCTTATCGTCCCCGTACCGGTGACGTCGACCGCCTGCATCCGCGCAGACGGTCGACGCCCCCGCCAAGGGAAGAAAGCTTAGATTTCGTCATCTTCCCCCTACGCACCCCTTTTTTTTTAGAGAGAAAAGTTGCGACGATTGTTGTATGGATTCAGTGTTGGCTCGGATGACCGGGAACGCGGGATCTTGCCCGTGTTCATCACGTACCTTCGATCGTCTCATTTTGCTACCGACCTTCCCCATCACAGATGACGACAGTGTCTACTGCGATGTGGACGTACGGCGCGCATTGAGGCGGACGGAGCAAGTGTGTTGGCAAGACCCGCCGCGGGCCTGTGAGATAAGGGGGAACGGGTTTGTGTTGATTGATCGCTTTGATTCCCCGACTCTGATATTGCCTTATACGGGCTTAACGGTGTTGCCCTGGTCGGCCGCTCACGACGCGTGGCGACCGCAGTTTGATTGTCGCTGGTGTCGCCAGGGGGACTCGTGCTCGTGGCGACGACTGGTCCTAGGTTACGAGGGAGCAACACGTTTTCCGAACTTTCCCGTAGTGTGGAGGCGCTGCCCGCGCAATTTCGAATTCAGATGCCGGCGAGTCCTCCCGCCGCTTTACCCTCCCGGAAACTTTCGCGCAGACTCTATGAGTCCGACGCCGAGGCTTGATTGCCTCGAACCAACCACCTCTACGGCAAAAGGCCCGAGGGTTCAGACACTTTGTGAAGTCGATGATGAGGCTTGAAGGCTTCGAACCCACCACCTATCCCCGAAACCCCTGACGGTCGAAGTTTTGTGTTCCGCCGCCATGGCCCCCTCCCCTTGATGCCTTTTCCCGTCCCGATGCACGACGACAATTCATTTTCACAGAAATCCTTCTGATTTTATCGTTTCGAAGTAATCGTACCCCCACGGGACTTCGCGACGACAGTTCGACTACGAGAAAAACCTCGTCCACGAAACGAGAGCCTCCCGTTCCGTCCGGGAGACTCAACCCTTGCGGCCAAAAATCCTCGGCCACGCCCCTCCTAGTACTCTGATCGGTGACCCCGTACGGGAAGCCGCGAGGGGGCGTGAGGTTGGTATCAGAGCTGATTCGTTTTTGGCTCCGAGGTTTTTCTAGGACGATTGCCCTGTTTTAAAGTTTCTCCTTTTTCTTTTTGATCTTTTTACTAGAATTTTTGAATTTTTGAGTAGGCTGGCTCCCCGTCGACGAAGGCCCACGAATAGCTATCAGAACCGAGCGAGGGGCCGGGCTCGAGACCTGGCTCCCGCGATGGTGGAACCCGGAATCGTGGGTGCAAACGACGACGACAACCACGCGGGGATGGCCAATCATCCCCTGGACTTTGTACCTCCTCCCTCCGAAGTTCCCATTTTTTCTGAGGATGACACCGATCCTCGCACCTGGCTAGCGGTCTTGAAAGCCCAGGGCTGGTCGGACCAGTTGCTCCGAGAACGAATCCCCGGAAGGTTAGCCGGAACCGCTTTTGAGTGGTACGGACAACTTCCAGAGGAAATTTCTCGATAGATTTGATCACATCGCACCAGGTCAATCCCTCCGTTTAATCAAGGAATACACACAACAGCCTCGGGAGACCTTGGCTAGATATGCTGAACGTCTTACGTACCTAGCCGAACGCTCCAGGGTGGATGAGAAAATGGTACGGACTCATTTCGTCAGAGGACTGTCAGATTCTCGTCTGCGGAAAAAGATCCGCAAGAAATGCAACCCTATAGAACATACCCTGACGGAGCTAATTCACTACGCAATTAAGTACGGAAAGGAAAATTACGACGGGGCCTGGACTCAGAATTCGACGAAGATGACCCTTCGGGCGTTAGACGCAATAGCTACTCCGATTTGGCACGTATGTTCGAAGATCGCTTCGGGTTGGGTCCGACAAAAAAAGGTTCGGATCGAAAAACTTCCTCCTCTGCTTCGGCCTCCCGTCGCCCTAGTCAAACGCAAGGAGGCCGGGGCGAGGAAGAAGTATCCATAAAAGAGGTCGCGGCCCAACTAGTTACGGTAGTAGCCCCGTTGACGGAGTTTGTGCAAGGTCTGCAACGACAACGGATAGCCGCCGCACAATGGCAACAGGCGGCAATAGCTACCGGAGCCCCTATGATAAGACCGGCCGTGGCCGGGGCTGTCCCACCCCTACGCTGTTATAACTGTAATCAGCCAGGCCACCTTGCAAAAGATTGTCCGAAACCCCGAACTCAGGGCGGTCCTACCGGACCTTCCCAAATCCCACTGGCTGCTCCCACCGCTGCAGGACAAGGGAGGGTAGCCACGGTAATGGACACAGGAACGACGGAGATGGTGACCCCTGCGGCCACTGAGATAGGACCCGATGAGTATATGGCAGAAGCGATGTTCGAACCCGGGACCATCGGAGTGATACGTCATGTCCAACGGATTACCGAGGAAAGCGACCTCGGGCCGTGGCGACCAAGGTTCGAAGATCTTGCGGTACCTGGTCTTGAATACAAGGATGGCCATATCGACGTATTGGATGCCTTGAAGGCTCTGGATCTTCGGATCCCCGTCCCTATTCCATATCTACTAACCATTTCTGAAGCGGCTAACGAAAAGTTGATCGAACGGTGCCTCAAAAATAGGCGCCGATTCGAGAAAAGTCAAAGGGCAAAAAAACGGTCCTACGGGACCCACCCGCCAACAAGGAACCACAGCCCTCGACCTCAGAGGTGCATGAAGCCAACCGGATAGGGATGATCCAGACCGTAGATTCCGCCTCGGAAAAACCCGAGGTATTCCTCCGGGCCTATCCTATAACTTGGAAAAGCGTAGAGTGTGATTGTGAGGTCTGGGGAAACCCCTCGGCCTCCATCCTAGACTCGGGATCATCAGCGGTTGCCATTTCTTGGAGATTAACGAAACAGTTGGGAAGGGAAGGACAGGTTAAGCCCCTCCGACCGGATGAACTGTATGTATCCGCTACGGAAGATAGTATTCATTGTAAAGGGCGAATAATGAATGTGCCCATACGGGTGGGGCGGGTGCATTGTTTGTGTGACGTGATCGTGCTGGATGTACAGGCGTATGATGTTCTGMTAGGCATTCCGTGRCAGGCGGCGGTCGGAGCGYGAATGCACTTTGACAKYTGTAAGGTGGTGCTCACATTGGCCCACCCCAAACCTCAGACGATACCAATGAGACTGGCGGTGCGCATGCGCACCCAGCCGGCGCCTCGCCTCACCACGAACGCCCATCAAATCAACATGATCCGACGCCTGTCATCAGACGAAAACGAACCCTCAACGGGAACCGACGAGACTGAGGTACCCGACCGATATCCGATCCGAGTTCAGGATCGGTGGCGCCATTCTTGGCGGCGAGAACCACTAGAAATAGTTCGGGGTGAGTCCAATTGGTCGCACGCGTTCTCCTCCGTGGTGCAGGGGGAACCCCTGCTGAGGGTGTCCCGGATAGCTGACTTTTCGGAACCCCTTGCGTCCTTATATCTCAGAACGGACCCCCTACCTGAAAGATTTACCGAGCTAAGGGGGTTGTGTGATTTATCTTTTCGACCTCCACGACCCCTACTCACGAATGAAAAAGCCGCGATACTCTTGAAAGAGGGGGTGTCATTTCAACCCCGGACCAGGGAATATCGATGGGGACCGAGGGAACTGGCGCAGGCCTTTTCGGTAAAACCCTCGGCCGAACCCGAACTGGACGGTGACAGTGACATGGAAAGCGAGCCGATGAGTCCGGCSGACAGTCAACTCATTGCGACTGTCCTTTCGGCAAAAACCGACAACTCTTTATTTAGGGCCTCGCCCAATGCCAGCGCGGCGGTCCCCACARTTACGACCACGGTCTCCCTTCCTGGGGGAACCGTGGAAGTTCAGTTACCAACCCGTGTTCCGGATGAATACAGACGYCTCCTYYTGGTGCTTATACGGGCCTATCCWGAGGCCGTCAGYATTCAGGACCACGACAGAGGCTAACCCCTTTGATACAGCATGCGATTGATACCGGGGATCACATCCCGATACATTGCCGACCGTACCGATATTCCCTTAAAGAAAGACAACTGRCTTTGGAAAGGGTACGRRARTTCGAGCGGTTGGGGTGGGTCGAACCATCGCTGGGACCRTGGTCTTTTCCCGTGGTCCTCGTGCCAAAACGAAATGGTTCRGTCCGGGTATGTATYGACTACCGGAAATTGAACGCCATCACTACCAAAGATGTGTATCCCTTGCCGCGAATTGATGATTTGTTAGATGCTATCGGGGCCGCTCGAGTCTTTTCCAAGTTCGATATCCGACACGGTTTTCACCACGTCGCAGTCTGACCGGAGGACCGACCCAAAACCGCTTTTGTCCTATTCGAGGGCACGTGGCAATGGGTCCAGTGTCCCATGGGAATTTGCAACGCCCCGGCAATGTTTCAGCGGGCCATGAATATGGCCTTCGCTGAGTTCGTTAACAAAACCCGACTAACCCAGCCCCTGATCAATTTCTGCGTGATTGTGTATATGGATGATATTTTGGTCTTTTCAAAAACACATGAGTACCACGTGGAACACATCGAGTGGGTTTTGCATGCACTGAAAGATGCCGGGTTCAAAGTGGCCTTGGAGAAAAGCGAGTTCTTCTTGTCGGAGATCTCATTCTTGGGGTATACCGTCACGGTCAATAGACTAAAACCGGATCCGAGAAAGGTGGCAGCTGTTCAAGATGCCCCGGCGCCGGTCACACTCACCCAGGTTCGGGCTTTTCTAGGGCTGGCATCCTATTACCGAGGCTTCATCAAGGGGTTCGTCGGTATAGCGAAGCCCCTCACGAACCTGGTGAAGAAAGAGGAACARCTGATCTGGACGYCGGAATGTGAAGCGGCRTTTCAGGCATTGAAGGAGGCTCTGACATCTGCTCCTGTGTTGGCGTGTCCCTACCCGACAAGACCGTTCGCACTGTACACAGACTGGCAGCCTCAGGCGATATCGGCGGTGCTGACTCGGCACGGGAAGGACGAAAGGGAGCACGTCATTGAGTATGCGTCCAAGACGCTAAGCCAGGCGCAGGCTAATTACGAAGCATGCAAAGGTGAATGTCAGGCGGTGGTGTGGGGGATTCAGCACTTCCGACCGTATCTGTACGGCCAGAAATTCGTGCTGGTAACGGATCATCAGCCGCTGCTATCCCTACGCAACAGCACGGACTACACGGGGATGCTGGGCAGGTGGGCGGTGCATCTGCAAGACTACGACTTTGACATCCGCCATCGCGCCAAGCGGCAACATGGTAACGCCGATGGATTAACACGCCTTCTGCCACCCAACAAGTGTCCCGCCAACGAGCGACTCATTCCGTGGAAGCCTGAAGTCGCGGCGACGAAACCACACTACGGGGAGCTACACGTGCTGCGTAAGGGTGACGCCTGAGTCCGGAATGGAGGTTTCATCGGAGATGGCCGACACTATCTCTCAGCCCTCATCCCACTCCCTCGCTCTCTCGTCTAGCCCCAACTTGTCCTCTGAAACACACCTAAGTCCCTGTTTCTTCTGTACCTTGCTTATGATTCCGGACCAAGAAGGGTCACATCCGGGAGGGCCCAGTTTTCTTTTATGGGTACAGTGTAGTCAGTGTCATACGGTCAAGTCGCACGGACAGTGCGTTAGGTACCGAAGTGAAAAGACGTGGGTCTGTCCCAATTGTAGAACGGACCAAGTCCCTACAAAGAAGCGGTATCTAGACGCTAGAACAACCGACGGATTTGCGCCGAGTGTCCGCCGGGCAGAAGCCTGGACAAACCTTCTATTGCTACGAAGACCGTCAGGCGACTCGCTGTCAGAACTTAACAAAGCCGAACGGCGGAGAGTCACGGAGCGGGCGCAAGACTATCGCCGGCAGGGCCCGATGTTACAAAAACTGAAGGTCGATGACGACGGAGAGTCTAGCTGGTTGACGGTTCCACATCCTCTTGCTAGGTTCGATTGGACGGGAGCCGCTCATGAGGAGGATGCGTTCCGTTTCGCGGTCAAGTACACGGAAAAAGCCATCGAAAATAACGGATGGTACTGGTCGGGAATTCGGGAAGATGTGAAATACATCGTTCAAAATTGCCCGGCCTGCACGGCGGACAAGGCAACCGTACAGATGCCTCGGACGATGGTGCCAACTCATGTAGAGCGCCCCTTTCAGAGGGTTAGCATCGATACGACGGACGTCAACGTTCCGAGAGGGTCAGTCGATCAGGGAGAACTCAATGTTCTTTTAGTGGTTGTCAATCATTTTTCAAAATGGATCGAGGCATACCCTATGACCAGCCGCAATTCGCAGGAAGTAGCCTGGTACGTAAATCGATTTTTGTGCATGCATCTAGATGTAGAAGAGGTACACATGGACAGTGTGTCGGAATTTCAGGGCGAAGTAGAACGTCACTTAGTCAGGGCGGACGTTAAGATTATCTACTCGCCGGGGCATTGGCCTCAAGCCAACGGCCTGGTAGAAAATGCCAACCGACTGATTAAGACCGCCCTTAGATGGAATATCACCGCGGGAGACACCCGGCCCTGGCCGGTCATTGTCGATCACATTTTGGCCGTTTATCGGGCTACCCCACACGGTAGTACTGGGGTGTCCCCCTTTCAACTGAGAACCAATAGTGTCCCTCGGGTGCAACTGTCCCCCTTAGTAGGTACGGAACTTAGAGTAACACGGGCCCAGAATCGAGACAAGGCCCGCCACTACTTGGACTTAATGGCTAGGGCCTATCCCCCGTTAGCCCGCCGTCGACAGCAGGCCGTAGATCGGACGCATCAACGGGAGATCCGGGACTACGAGAACCGACACGCGTCGGCGGGACCACTGCCCCGCTATAAAGTTGGGGACTTGGTACAGGTACGGAAATCTGCGCGCTCCTCCAAGATCCACCCGCGCTACACAGGCATTTACGAGGTCACGAAAGTTGGCGCACAGGGACAGCACTCCGTGAAGCTGATTCCCCGTCACAACTCCCAGGCCCGGCCACTGACACGGCACGCTGCCGCGCTCCGGCCCTTCCAGCCATCACTAGGTCCCCTACGGACCCCCGCTCCTGCGCGATCACCTTCTCCTTCTTCATCCTCCTCTTCTCGATCTGCCTCGTCCATTGGTGCTAAGAGTGCCAGGGAGCAGGATGAACCATCGCCAGCCGGAGCATGGGCCCCTCGAGCACTTCCAAACGCCGCTTGCAGATCGCTTGTTGCGGCATCGGTTTAATGAGGAGAGGCAGTTGCGGTACGACGTCGAACAGGTGAACGTGCCAGCACCCGGGGTTGCTGACTTGGCGGCATACTCGTTGCTTTGCGATCGGCTGACGTACGCGGGGGTGTACGTGGACGTGACGCAGTTGCTCGGCCGAGAGACGACCCGGGTATTCATTGAGTTCCGTGCGCTCCAGATGGCACCCAATTTCGTGCACAACGTCGCCACCTTCATTGGAGACTTGACGATCCTCCCGCAGGAGAATCAGGAGCCGGCGCGCAGCTTTGTGCGCGAGCACGCGGTAGAAGCGGCCAGATCAGTGGCCAGAGTGCAAGGACGGAGCGGGCACCGATTCACAGCCCACGAAGTGCTGCTGCGTAGGGCCGAGGACGGGCCGATTGCGCTGGTGCCGCAGCTCCCCGTGCTTCTCCCTCTCGCTGCTCCTCTCAATCTCCAAGCTATTCCCCCTGTCCCGTACTAGATGCCTCCTTTCTTCTCCTACACCACCCTCCCCTACCAGCTCACGGCGGGCCCTTACCCCATGCGCGAGTTCTCGGAGTACCTGGTGGAGCTAACTGACGTGGAGCCGCTGCCCTTCGCTGACGAGGACGCGTGGGAGTTGCACCGTGCGCTGTACAAATCGGTGGCGCTGGGGATGTTCCGGTTCTTCGTGGATCTTGAAGACCACGCTACCGGTGAGCACTTCGTCGTTTACTACGTCATCACGCGGCCCAAGTCAGCGGAGAAGGAAGGGACGGTAGCGCTGTACCCATTCGCCAAGCTCCAGACGATCGATCCGGGATTTTTGGAGCTCATACATCTTGTGCTCCTCTCCATCGCGCAAGTGATCGCGAGCGAGGAGGAGGAGATCCAACCGCGATTGCGGACGGCGACGGCCCTGCGGAGAACGTACAACGAGGTCGTCATCCCGGACTACATTGCGCAGCGCGTGGAGAGATTGGAGGACTTCCTGGATAAAAGGCCGTTGCGTCCTCGCTCATCGTACTTTTGGCCAGCGCCACCAAAGGCCCCCAAGAAGACGCCGAAGAGGAAGAGACGCCACCCGTCGCCAGAAGCGCAAGGCAGCAGGATCGGCGGCGGCGAGGAGGTGATTCAGCCCGCGCGAGCGGCGACGCTCGTTAAGGAGACTATCGTGCCATCACCGCCCATTCCGCGTGTGCCCGACCTCAATCTTGATGGAGCCAGGCCATCATCAACAGCAGCAGCCGGAGGAGGAAGCCGAATGGGATATCCGGATCCCGTATCCAGACGCCCCGTCCTCGCGGGACCTCTCCGTTCCCGCCAACCACCCCGGGATGCCCCAGTCATTGACCTTAGTAGTTCATCCAAGCCGGACGGTCCATCCGACCGAGGTAGACTTCATGGTGGAGCCCGCCACCATTAGGCTCGAGGCCATCGCGGGGGCGCCACGCCCTGATCCGGCGTGGGAGCCATATCTAACACCCCCTTTTCAAGGGTGTAYTGCGGCACGATTGGCCAGGACGCTCATCTACGAGACTGGGCAGCGTCCCAATGCGGTGTACCACTTCCTGGTCTTCGCGGCGCAGAAGCGGGAGCGGCGGCCTTATACCGAGACGCATGTGGTGACGAGTCTGATGACGGGTCGAGGGCCCCGATCGGTGCGCAAGCAGGTGGTGCGGGCGGTGGCGGATCTGGCGCCACGTGTCCTCTCTCATGTGCCGGGGGCTTTCCTTTACCCCTCCTTCRTCCARCATCATTTCCGTKAGGAAGATGCGGCGACGACTCCTGCGGCAATGGCCGCCTTTCTTCCACCTATTCCGCCCCCTCTCAATCCCGACATAGATCACTTCATCTGATCACCTTCCTCTCCCTCTCCCCCGTCCTCTCCTTCTCCTTCTCTTCTTCTTCCTCTTCTCTTCCGGATCTAAAGCTCACGCGACAATATGCGCTGTATGTACCCAAAAAAAA